TAAGTTGCTGTTATACAAATGGATGCAATCTCTACATATAATAAAAGAAAGAGTCTGTCTGTGTGTGTGCGTCTTTCATTCGCGCTGCACGTAAACTAATAGACCCACGGCTACGAAATTTGGTACATAGGTGCATCTAGACAAGAGCCAGTGCACCTCGAAGCAATTGTTTCAAAATTCGAATTATAATTTTTTTTTTTTTTTTTTTTAATGTTTCGTGATGAAATCGCGTCATTTTGAGATATAATGGGCCATAAGGAAAGCCAGATTTTACTCTGCACACTCCATTTTCACATCATCATGAAACGTAGGCACTTAGATATTTTACGAACTTAAAATAAATTTCGTGTTTCAATAAATCAATTAAATATGAATTTATTTAACAAAATGAGCTTAACACCTTTTCAATGGGATTTTTTCTAAAAAAGTTTATTTTTAAAAATGTACAGTTATTTTTATTTATTTATTTATTTATTTTTGATTTTTTGGACACATTAAACTTTTATCCTTGTGACTGCTTATACAAAAAGAATTTTGGAAAAATGATAATATTTTGTATTAAAAAAAAATTTAAATGCAGCTTCCGAGTACACTTCTACATCTCACATCTTTAAAAATGTGATTTTGGCAACAATTTTCCTTTCTTATTGTTGTTGATAGATTTTTGATGAAATCGCATCATTTTGAATAGTTTCTTCTTTTAGAAATATGGGTTTGGCAACAACTTTTCATCGTGTTTCTTATGTCACTGTTTTTAGGAGATTAACATATTTCATTGTCATTTTTGTTTATATATATACATTTTTATTGATGTTTTTTATAAAATTGTTCTGCAGAGTAAAATTCTGCACGGAATTTTTTGTTTTTAGAGTTTCTTTCATGTTATTTTACTGTTTGTAAGATATTGAAAAGTTTTGCATGATTTTTTTCCTTCAACGGAAAGTTTTTTTTATTAGGATAATTAATATTTGTATTAAGGGATATAGCTTATTTCATTGTAATTTTTGGTGCTTTTTTGGTAGACGGTTGCACGGATTTTGGTAATTTTTCTTTTGGCGAGTAATAAGACTTATGGTAAACCCATTGCTAAATAAGTTATTTATGGTAACCGATACGTTGTTGTCTTTTATTTAAAAAATAACGTGTTTTATTATACATAAATTCCGTGTTTTAAATATCATTTATGGCTTCTAAATATTAAAAAACAATTTAATTTTGCATTTTTATTTGAAACAAAATTTTGTTGTTTATAATATTTTATATAATTTTATGCTGTGGATGATGTAATCAATGACATCACCTTACTTAAAACGTAATTGGTTTATAAGTAATATCTATAAATTTAATCTAATGTTTTAAACATTATTTATGGCTGTTAAATATTAAAATACAATTTAATTTTGCATTTGTTTTAAAATGATTTTATTGAATGATTATTTAAATAATTTTAATTCTATGTGTAATGTAATCAGCTCCCTTATTGGTTACTGAATATTTGTGCATTACCGCGGCATTTTAAAATTTTATTATTCATCTCTTCGAATTCCTCAGATTTCAAATGGAATGGATATGTCCGTTTCGAAGATGACTGTTGTTATTGGCAATTACCAAGAATTATTGGTATCGGAATAAAAAAATTGCCCTTTGAGACCTTATTTTGGCCAACCTGGCTTTCCTAATCAAATATTTATTTATAAATTGTTAATAGCATCAGAGGAAATTTATTTTAAATTTTTGGAGAAAACCTCGCTAATTGCTTCTCCAATGAAGTGTGAGAGATGTGGATCACAGATGAAGATCGTTTTTTTCCTGGTACTTATCAGTTACGACAGGTAAAATACTTTAAAAATTGTTGTACATATTTTCTTTTACTTTAATGTACACTTCAACTTTTATTAAAATTAATACAATATTTTCAAAAATTCTTGATTTTTTATTGCTACATATGTTTTGTAAATATTAAATCCTATAAACTTATTTTTAAAGTATTTAAGTAATTTTAATTCTTTTAAATGTTGGTATGATGTTTTTAACGATATTCAATTTAGCATATTTTAATTCAATTAAATGTTGGCACAATGTTTTATAGCGGTGTTTTTTATTCTATTATATGAAAGGTAATAATTTAAACTTACTTTAGCTTTTTATACTCTTAGTAAATGTATTTATTTACATTTGCCAGCCATATTAAAAAACAACGTTTTTAACAAAAAATTAATCCATTATTTTTAACGATGTTTATTTTTTTAAAGTTTCTAATACTTTACTATATGCGTAAAATACGTAAAAACAGCATTTTTCAAGATGGCTGAGGAGTATATAAAAACCACACCAACAATTGCGCCAATGTAAATCGCCAAAAATTCGTGCAACCGTCTACCAAAGTAGCACCTAATTTTTTCTCTTGAAAATAAAAGATAAAATATCATTAATTATACTTTGCTTTTCAGATTTTTTTTTTATTATTATTTTTTTTTTATTTTTTTTTATTATTTATTTTATTTATTATTTTTATTATTCTATTATTATTATTATTATTCTTATTCTTATTATTTTCTTTTAGTTATTTATTGCTCATTTAACTATTTTTAAGATATTGAAAAGTTTTGAGGGATTTTTTTAGGAAACATAGTTCTTAACCCCTTAACTGCCGCGGGCGTATATATACGCCTTGCTCAGCCGATGTGTTAACTGCCCCAGATGCACAGCCCGATGCGTTAACTTTGCGAATAATTTAGGTGTAGCAGCGCAAAGCAAATGATAGCAGTTTGGAAGGACGTATATATACGCCTGGGGCAGTTAACGCATCGGCTGAGCAAGGCGTATATATACGCCCGCGGCAGTTAAGGGGTTAACCTCCTTTATACCATGAGTTCTTAAGATTTTGCAAAGGGAAGTTGGTTAATTTATTTATTAGGATAATTAATATTTGTATTAAGGGATATTGCTTATTTCATTGTAATTTTGTTATATGTAATAACTTTTTCTTATGAAATTGTTCTGCAGAGTAAAATTGTATGCAGTTTTTAAATTTAACGTTTGGTGTTCCCTTCAGCCATTTTTCCGGTACATTTAAAAGTCAGACGAAGGCTGGCAGCGAAGCTGCTAGTAACTAATATAATTCAGGTTTAACTTTGTGAACATGTCATAGAAAGAAGAGAAAATTTAGTGGAACAATATGTCTTTAGTAGCCAATCTAATGATTCATCAGCACCAGTGTTTAGCAGATGCTAGCTAAGCTTTATGATAATAGCCATTAATTCAAAGGTGCTCAGATATTACTAACAAAATGCTAAATTTTCCAATTAATTGAATATTTGAAGAAATGTGGAGAAATGGTAATAAATAAAGATAACATAGCAGAAGGTTTTCTTTGCAATGACAATGCCACAATCATTAGTCAAACGACAAAATCTGTAGTGGTTCTAAATCTAGAAAATATCCCAACCAAATAGTAAAGAAAGTGACAGAGAGGTTGTTGCAAATGAAAAAATTTGGAATGGCAATTTAGTGGGAATCCTCGATACAACAATTACAGAACTTGAATAATGGAACTTTGTAACTGAACAAGAATTTATGTTTATCTAAGAATTAAAGAGAAATATTACCACCAAAAAAATGAAGCAAATTAAAGAACTTACACCAATGTTTAATAAAGCAAACAGATAGGGGGGGTTACCTTTTATCTTACTATATTTAAAGCAATGATTTAATACGCAGAAAATTGCCTATTCCAGAATCGCTTAAGTGTCAGAGTCTGGATCTCAGATTTTATACTTTACAAAAACTATATTTTTATGATAAAATAAAACATTGTATTTATACACACCTGACGTTAATAGCCGATCATAAATCAACTGTAACATAGCAAACATGCATTCTTACCATAACAATATTAATGCTACTACCTGAGACCAACAGCAAAACTAATAAGTCACATGAACTGTGAAACAAAGGCCAATGCTGATTGGCTAAAAAGTGTCTGCATTGTGACAAATTAACCCAAAAATACCAATACTGCATGAGATTTCGAGGAATCTCAATACTGCCACGTAATACTGAAATATCAAGCAGGGTCTTATTGTACTTTTAAATACAACAAAATAAATTTAATAATTAATATACATAGTATTGTATGGATAAACTTGATAATATACCATACATTATACAAAACAAAATAAAATATGACTATTAACTGATTAAAAGTTGCTTGAATCTTTGTAAATACCATAAATGTCTACAACAGATTAAATAAATTAAGAAACAAAATTTAGCAAGAAACATCATGCTGAAAATCACTAGAGGCAAGAAAGCTGTTTGCACAATTTATGTTTTATTAATTCAATAAACTTCATTAATTTCTCCAAAACATTTTCTTTAATTAAAGGTTAAAAATTAAAAATTGGAAATTTGGTAATCTACTAAGAGATGTGATGAAAAACCAGCATCTAGCAGTTATATTAATCACGTTAAACTCATATATTGAAAACAGATTTAAACAGAATGCATATCATAAATTCTGATATAAATTGCAGAACCTTCAGATAATGACAGAACACTTATGTCACCACTGCACAATGAAAAGAAATATTATGGGGGTGGCAGAACCTACTGTAAGATTTTAGATAGTCTGAATATAAATTATTCTTAATATACAATATACACAGCACAATACGGAAAAAACTTTTGAAATACGATAATTTTAACCCCTCAAAATAAATCAAAATAATTCCTTCTAATATGAAGATAATGTATAGCAGCTTTTATAACATTTCCTTCAAAGATTACTAAAATAACCTGATTAAATTATTGCAGAAATATAAATATTAAGGTTATAGCATGATTTTGAAAACATATTTTCAGTTACACCAAATTACTAGCACAGAACTAAGACCAAGAAATTTTAAAAAGAAGAGAAAAAAATTAGACATTTTGACTATGGAAATGGCAAAGGGGGGAAAAAGTGTTGAGCAACATTTGAAATACCAACAAATTATTACCTTCTTACAAATGATATTAACTCCCAGCATCTCTAAAACTGAATCTACATAAGATGCACATGCAGCAACAGCAGTACTTCCTTCTGGATTTGATGAATTGTTGACAGATGAACAGTGAAGGCATCTGTTCACTTCATCTATTAACTGAACTAAATTTAATAAAGCTTGACTTGTGTTGAAATCCTTAGAAAATGAAAATGTAACTTGCTCTTTCACAGAAGTTAATCTAAACTTAATAATAAGAATGAGTAATTAAACAGAAGTTTTAACAGAATTAAGAGAAAACATATATACTGATTAAGTTAAAATTAAAACTAAACAGGCAAAAGAAGAGTATTATCATAAGATAGCTTCATCTTATGATGAAAGTGAAAATGTAACTCGTTTGTTGGCATGTTTTATTTGCGTATATTTGTGTTTATTGTTGGCAAGTTTTTTCACAGAAGTTAATCTAAACTTAATAATAAGAATGAGTAATTAAACAGAAGTGTTAACAGCATTAAAAGAAACATATAACATATATATTGATTAAGTTAAAATTAAAACTAAACAAGCAATAGAAGGGTATTATCAAAAGATAGCTTCATCTCCTCTTGACAATGTAAAAGTCTGAAGATAATAATCCTGCTTTTTTCATTTTAGTAATTTATACCACTATATTTCCATTTATTGTTTTTTTATTATTATTATTTTATTATGCAAGAATTCTTTTGACATAATTTTAAATTTTATTTCACAAAAACTGTTGACTCCACTTACAGTTTGTAGTACCAATAATTTGTTCAAAATATTTGAATTCTCTTACTCGTATTTTTTTGCCTGTTTACTTTTAATTTTAACTTAAATCAAAATTTGCAAATTATATCTCAGCAGCATTATGCACAGGAACTGTTTTTTTTTACGTCCTTATTATTCTCCCTAATTTAGATATATTTATATATATCTGTGTGTGTGTATAAGATAAAAAATAAGACAGCAAACTTTTAATCTTAACAGGCAATAGTCCCCTTATATTCTTCATTTTAATTTGTCCTTTTTTTAGCTTAAAAATAGTTACTGTTTATAATATATCAATCTAAAGTGCATGATTTCAAAACTAATCCGCTTCATATTATAAAAGTTTCTTTGGAATTAAATTTAATACTTGTGGGTTAGATACATTCTACTAAATTTATATTAAGAAATAATATAATCAATATTTCTTTAGCAATTAAATTATATATACAGTCAAAAGTCTTTAATCCGGATGTCCATAATTCGGAATGATCTATAATCTGGACATCAAAGCTACAAACTTTCTGCGCATGTGTAAACGCATGCACATAATACCTTTACGCATGCGCAAAAAACGTTTACGAATGCACGTTTAATGTATAACGAATGGTATAAGCTAAGCTAAAATTATCTAATTATCTATTTCAGTTAATGTTGCAGATTGCGTTGCTCCTTAATCTTCTAATTGGATCCGGCTTGTTATTTTTTGCAGACTGTTAGAGCAATTGAACTTTCGATTATGTCAAAAAGAATTTCCGATTCTGGAGCTGCCGAAGGATCTACAAAGCAAAAGCATGTTTCAATGACCATTAAAAAAAAAGTGGAAAAAATGGATAAAGTCATATCCTTTGATTCTCTAATCATTCTGAAATACGTTTATCAATTTCACACTGCTCTGCGGGGTGGGGGGAGACGTCGCAGCGTGCAATGAACTGGAAGTTAATCTGTCAGCACTATCCTCATCTTCAGAGCAGATTTTTTTATTTTATTTGGCTTATAAATCCTTACTAAATGTAGTATTTCATCTCGATGTACTCGGTCTTTGATATGATTTAAATCAAATTCCTTGTCATTATAAATATCACAAATACACATCAAATAGTTTTCTGGTTGCAATTTTCTAATTTCGAATATGCGTAATGCATATTCGAATGCATGCACACGTTGAAAGAAATGTTTAATAAAGTAAACAAATAAATATTAAGCTTTTTTTTTTGTAAATTTTGATACCCTTTAGATCATAATTGCTCTTTATTTCATAAATTACGGTTTCATACTTTTAATTATATAATTTCTGCATGCCATCTTACCAGATTTAAATTGATGATGTATAATCCGGAATCGCCGAAGTCCCGACAAATCTGGATTAAAGACTTTTGACTGTATATATCTCTTTCAGGACAGGCATGTCACATATGCATCAGCCGTCAAAGTTCTTCCACTGCATGACAGGTCAAATATGAACTGCTGTTTAAATTGACTCTCAGGACGGGTGTACTATATACGAATTTTTAAACAGAACATTTAATTATTATTATAATTATTATTTGCCACTTGACACAGCCCTATGTTTGTTATGGTGAAATTTATCGATACTGGAGAATGTTGACCCTCATTTTGCTGCAGTGTTTTTTAGCATTTTGTTTCAGAATGAAAACAGAAATTGTGGGAATGAGTAATGTAATTAAACACAGGCAATTTATTACCTGCATCGGCTAATATAAACACATGGGGGTGCTCTCAATGCTTCTGAATACTTTTGGTTTTATTTTTGATAATATTCATTCTTCTCGGAGTTTGGCTAGCTCTTAGGCGAATATTTTGTGTACTGTTTAATTAATTTTTTTTATATTTCAAATGGCAAGGAAAACATAATGATCAAATTTTTAAATTATTTCTGACAATAACCTATTTTTTCTATTTACACCAAAAACTGGACCCTAAATTTAATTTATGAAATTTTTTCTCCAAAGTTAGGCTTAGCAGTGCAAACTGCCCACCCTCACAAGGCAATGTATCCTTTGTCCCGAAACAGCAATTGGGTGACTCAGGTGCCCATTGCAAACGAGTAATATATATGTATATACCATATGTGTGTATTAGATGAATATATGCAAAGCAAACTTCTAATTTTAATTGGTAATAACTCCTTTTATTCTCTGCTTTAATTTGGATATTTTCCCTTTTCTTCCTTTATATAATGTTGGATGATATAAACTTCAGAACTTAAAATCTGCAAACCAAAATCTTTCTCTCTCCTTTTGAATTAAATTTCCACATTGGATTACTACTTTGGTTATTTGTATTGGGTTAATGAAAAATGCGTATAAATCATAAATTCACCCACGTCAGCAAGTTTCTTCTTCATCCTTTTACTACACAATTACACATTCCATATTCCATGATTAAAAGTGTTTGTCTCTCTTCTTACCCACATTTTAAATTATTACAAAGAAAAGCAAGAAATTTATTTTCGAAAAGGAATTGTAATTGATTTCAATGTACCTCTTCCTGATCACGATATATTGAAGTTGACTGAATTCCTCTTCTTTCTGTGTTCTTTTTTACTATCTCTTTGTTTTTGGTTTTTCTTGTGATGGTTTATTTTATCTTTTCATCTACATTTTATAATTCTACATTTATAGGATCTTTTGAAATTTATTTATTTAAATTCTTGTTCTTTGTGAAAAATTAGCTCTAAATTTCTTTCTTTATTTTACTGCTGATAAATTTTCTGCAACATAATGCACGAAAATTCTTGGAATAACTACATTTTATATTTATAATTTTTTTTCCATTTATGTATGCATATATGTAATATTAGCACAAAATTTGAAAGCACTGAGATGTAAATGCACAGAAATGCTGATGGCGCATATGCTTTATGCTTAGAGCGTCCATCCATTTTGATGAAGAAAGAGTCAAGCCGAATTAAATTCCATATTTATTTAAATTCACATTTTGTGGCCACAATTCACTTGGCACTCCAATCGTTCCTATCTCAAGAACAATTTTGATACTATAGCAGCAGAAGCAAATTTAGATGATTGCAGCAGCATCTTAATAGGATAACAGCTTAAGCCAGGAGAGAGCGTGTTGCAGTACTTCAGGGTAAGAAAGGAGTTTCATTTTCAGTTCGAGTTAGTTTTGGTTTACAATTATTTTGATTGGGCAAGAGATATCTGCAGTAAGCATTCTGCAAGACGGCAGGATTAATTTGAATGACGCAGTATAGATTTATGGCACTATTTCTAAGACAGAGAAAGGAAGTCCCCAAAATAGATAAAACCAAAAGAGGTTATAGCCAATTAAAATTAGAAGTTTGCTTTCATATTTTTTTATCTTACACACACACACATATATACATATTAATATTAATCAAATGTAAGGACTTTTAAGAATCCTGCACCTAAGCTGCAATGATTTAATTAAACATAATTATGATTTAAGGGGAATACTGCTATTAAAATTCTTATATTTCAAATTAAATTAAGAAAGCTAATAAAGTAAAAGGATTACAATTTTAAGTGTAAATAAATCCAATTTACAAATTTGTTAATTTTAAGCAATATTTAAATAACTGTTTAATTTTAAAACATTTAAGAAAATTTTTACAAGTATTAAATTTATACTTAAAATTGTAATTATTATTAATTTAATCTAAAATATAAGAACTTTACTTGATATTCAAGAGCATTTAATTTTTATTAATAAAAATATATATGAATTAGTTAATTTAAAACTATGCTGAAAATCTTTAAAATAAGTTAAAATTTATTTTTTGATATCTCTCCTGAAATTCGTAACAGAGTAACAGTTACACATGCTTCTTTGGTTAAAAAAAAAATATCTTAAATCAAACTTTACCAAATGAGCACTAAACTGACAATTTACAAATATTTAATAAGATCTGTTTTGATATAGGGAGCTGGATCTGGACATTAACTGAATAGGATTCACATGCACTTCGAGAAATTTTTTGGGAAATATTTTGAGAAGCATTGTTGGAGAAATTCAAATATATGACATTATCAGAAAAACAATGCAGAAAGCTACCATACGTGTGGGTATTCGGACAGTATAAATTTTATAAGATCTCAAAGATTAAGAGGGGCTGGTCACCTAAATGGAATGCCCAAAAATAAAACTACTGAATAAATATATTATTCACGTACAAGTCAATAGGAACTTGAAAATGAGGGAGACCAAAACTCAGATGACTAGAGTGTCTGGAGAGAGACTTGTCTAACTTAAAGACCATTAATTGAAAGACTAAGGCCAAAAGTAGAACACCTGAGAAAGAGTGTCTGAGAAAAAGAACATCTAAAGAGTGCCAAAGCCTATAATGGGCTGACATTAGTAAAATAGAAAGTTGCTAGTGTTTCTCCTAAAACACTTATATTTTTTTGCCCCCATTACTTACAACTACATACAGAATTTTGATTATTAATA